GGAAATTGTTGAGTGATAATAATGAGCGGTCTAATAGAATAGAATCAAGGTTGGATCAATTGACTACTGCTCATAGGACCTTGGAGATGCAAGTGAGTTAAATGGCCTCCGCCATGAATAATCGTGGGCAAGGTCAACTGCCAATCAAGTCTGAAATCAACCCTCGTAAAAATTGTAGTGCTATCATGTTGAGAAGTGGGAAGTAGTTGGGTGACAAGGAGGAACCAAAGACCACTGAAGTGAATGTGACCACTGATGAGAAGAAAGAAGAGAGTAAAGAGAGTGATGAAGAAAAAGTGGAGAAAGTGGAACCAGAGGAAGAAAAGATATATGTGCCACCACCGCTTAAACCTTATGTTCCACCAGTGCCTTTTCCACAGAGACTCCATATGACCAAGCAAGATAAGCTATTTGAGAAATTTCTGAAAATTTTTAGGCAATTGCATATTAACATTCCTTTTGCAGATGCTTTAGCTCAGATTCCTACTTATGGGAAGTTCTTGAAGGAGATCATCTCCAACCAAAGGAAAGTGGAAGACTTTGAGACAATTGCATTATCTGAGGAGCGTAGTGCTGTTATTCAGAAGAAGTTGCCTCCAAAATTGAGTGATCCAGAGAGTTTCTCTATTCCTATCTGTATGGGTGATGTTTGTTTTGATAAAGCTTTCTGTGATTTAGGTGCTTGTGTTTCATTAATGCCTTTATCTGTTTGTAGAAAGCTTAGTTTGAAACAGTTGAAACCAACTAACATCACTTTGCAGTTAGCTGATAGGTCCATAACTCACCCGAAAGGGATTTTGGAAAACGTTCTAGTAAAAGTGAAGAAGTTTTATATCCCTGTTGATTTTGTTTTGTTAGATATGTAAGAAGATGCTAATGTACCAATTATTTTAGGTTGACCATTTCTAGCCACAGCTGGTGCTGTTATAGATGTTAAAAAAGGGAGATTAAAATTTCATATTGGAGAAGAATCTGTGGAGTTCACTTTTTCTGAAAATTACAAATGCCCTGCATTTACTCATCATGTGTTAGGGTAGATATCCTTGAGGAGCTAGATAAAACTGATGTTTTCATTGCTAATTCTAAAGATCCTCCTGACATATGTATCAGTGATGTAGGCATAGATAGAAATGGAAGAAGAATGATGTATGAAAGAGTTTCACACTCTTTGATTGAGCGTCCACCTGATTGATTAGCCAAATAGTCCGACTTATAACTTTAAAAAAGCGCTTATTGGGAGGCAACCCAATTTTTTATTTTGCTTTATTTTTTTTTCATTAATCAGTTGATGGTTAAGTTTTTTGTTCCTGATTATCTAGAGATCTTTGATTTCTGGATTTTCGTGGTTTTTCTTAATCATCAGTTTTTAGGTTCTCTTTCTAATTTATTTTAGTTTGCAATTAGGTTTGTTGGAAGGGCGAAACTCTGGTGTCCAGTGGTGCTGAAAATGAAACATCCAAAATTCTGAAGAAGTTGGTCGTGTGTTTGAATGGCAGTTGCAACAATTTATTCAACAATTCCGGTCCTCTGTTTTGAATTCCCATGGTTGTGTTGTTTCTTTTCATTTCTTTTATTATCTTTTCTTTTCTTTTCACTTGGTTCTCTTTTCTTTTGCGTTTTATACATTGAGGGCAATGTATCCTCAGGCCCAGTGAGGAAAAATAGATATGTAGACTGCCCTAAGTTACTCAGCCACTATGTATAGGAGTGAAAAAATGCTCTAGGTAGTGGCCTGAGTCGGAAAGAGTCCTGAAGAAAAGCCGCATGGACCGAAGAATGGCTTACGAGGGGAAATAGGTTGTCTGTGAGATAAGTCCTTCTACTTCATAGTATGTTTGGCGGTCCATTGTATTGAAATATGGTATGAAATGTGAGTCGGTTGTTAAAGTAAAATGACATATTTGCAGTAGAGCTTTTGTTTTCTATGTTAAATGTAAAGTGATGTCCCTAAGAAGCGGATCGCACGCACACACAAGCGTGTGGGCTAAAAGTGCATATGGTTTGCATACTGTTAGGTAGTGCTATTAGAGATAGTTGAGATCTGTGTGTTATATGAAGATTGAATCTCTGAGGCCGCGTAATAAAATAATTTAATGTTTTTGCTTGTTTTAATTCTTGGGAATGCTTGAGGACAAGCAATAACTCAAGTTTGGGGGTATTTGATATGCTTATATTTTACCATTCATTATATCCCTAATTTGTGATTTTTGCAATATATTTTGATTACAGATATGCTATTTATATGATTTTATCTTTATTTGTAGGTTTTGTACTCAAATGGAGAAATTGTTGAAGTTTTGGACAAAAATCAAGATAAAGATAATTTATAGAAGCAAGATTGAAGAGTTGATAATTGATGAAAGAGAACATCCAGCCAAAAACTTGAATTCCAGCATGGGAGACGCACAGGGACTGAATTGCAAAAGTTGAAGAAGTTTTGGGGCTGAATTGTAATTTTGCATAAGTTTAGGGACTAAAGTGCAAATTCCTGAACTATTATTACACAAGTTTAGGGACTAAAGTGCAAATTCCCGAACTATTTTGGGCAGCAGCTTACGTGAATGAACCAGAGGTGCAGTTTTCTGGGTTTAGGGTTGAGTGGTGCGCATGATTTGAAGGCTATATAAACACTTGATATACATTAATTTTTTGGAACCCCTCCACGCACAACCGAACCCCATCAGCCACCCACCTCCACGCAGCCACCATCCATCACTTGAATCATCATTATCACAACAGCCTCACGCATCATCATTATAATCATCAAGGAGGCAGCTTGGACGTGAAGAAGAAAGCAGCAGTCGTGGTCTTCCAACTTCCAATTCGGCGGCTTCGTTTTCTCTCCAGGTTTTTGAGTTTCAATTTAATTTCAGATTTGTGTAGATTATGTCTCTAAATATTATTGAAGTATTTTTGATAATGTTTAGTGGATAAATTCTTTTAACTTAGGGCTTGGATGTAGCCGCTTGATTTATTTGGTTTATTTGATTCATTATTATTTGACTTTTCCATTAATTAATATCTCTTATTCTTGTTTTAATCCGTGTAAGTAATTAGCCACTATTTGCATGTCAGAAGATACTAATCGATGTAGCGAGAGTGGAAGATTAGTATTAGTTCGTAAGAATAATAGACTTAGGGTGTAAGCTACGTGAGTAAGATTATAACATTTGCAACGTTTGATTCTTAATGGTCTTAATGTGCTTTTGTTAATCCCTATAGTCACGAGTAGTCATAGGGTTAATCTAAGTAAGAGAACTATAGCGCGAGAGTGTGTAGTTCTTAATTAGGTGAATCGTTGTGAGATTAATGGAAGTTAAAAGTCAGATATTTATGAGTCGAATCAAACCAAATATTCAGTAGGTGAACCCAATGTCCTAGGTTTTCCCAACTTGATTGTTTTAACCTTTGAAAGTAATTGCATATTTTAGCTTTAGTTTTATTTGGTTTGAAAATCTGAAATCATCATTTATCTAGATAATAATAGGAGTAATTTATACCTGGTAACTAGTATTCCTTCTCTGCGGGTACGACCCTATTTTTCGCTATACTAGTGTTAAGTAGGTGAATTTATTTGACTAGTTGTGATGACGGCTTGTCAATTTGTCTTGATCCCCTTCACGAGCAACAATTTGCTGCTTCATTTTTTCCAGTTTTTTTGTACTAATTTTGGTCTGTTTGTAATAATTTTTTACGTTTTTTATTCAATAATATTAAGATTAAATAGTCAATTTTGTGTATGATTAAATATTGTAAAGAAAAATGTACCTCTGTTTTATGTTTGCTTCATGTTCCTTTGTAATATTGTAAAGGAAATTGAGTAAACGCTGGAGATGGATGCCCGCACATGATGGGTCCTGCCTTTGCCCTTTGGTATCAAAAGTCAAAACATTGACCATAACTACCCCACAATTACTACCCCACATCAATGTTACAACAAAACATCAGTTTGGTGTAGGATTTGCTGAAATAGCTCCCTATTATTAATTTATTATAAATAAATAATTAACACATGTCATCCTAGAATAAAAACAAATAATACTTGTGATCATATTAATTATGTAATTCCGAAATAAAAAATAAATATTTTGGTTATTATATAATACTACAAAAAAATTTCCAAAATAGAAAAAATGGGATATGAAAGGGGTTGAAACCATTTAAAAAAATAAAATGGGCTGTGAAACCAAAAGAGAAAATGATGAAGAGAGAGAGAATGCATGGATTTGCGGCTCTGCGCACAAAGTTTTTCAACCCACTCCATTGGTTGTCTCGTGTAATTCATCTGACATTTGACTACTACTCAAATTATAACATTGAATGGAGATGCTAAGTTTCGATTGAATAATTATATAACCTATGTTTATGGCTGGATATTCAAAGTGGTAAGGTGGCGTGGTTGAGCCAGTAATAGTCTCAAATACCTACATATGGATGTGCCGTGTTTGACTCACCAACTCTACTTTTTTTGGGGATAATACTACCATTCCCACCTCGACACAGTATATCACCATTTTTTATGTATAGTTTGAAACTACTGTAATTTAGAATAATTTTTTTCCATGTGTAAAGGTTATTCAAAAAAGGAAGTATAAAACATTAATTGGTGTATCAAGTATTCAATTTTGCCATTTTCAAAAGGGATCCCCTTTCAAAAAAAATAAGTTTCAATTTTGTTATTTTCAAGAAAATAAGTTTCAATTTAATTTGTTGCTTATCTATTGCATATCAAGAGGAGCTCTGATTGATGTGTAGTACTTGAACATTGAAACGACCTGATGTAAACAGTCATTTGACCACAACAGTTACTTATCATGAAGACAACTAGGGAGAAGTTAAAAGGGTAATGGCAGTTCCAGGTACTACGTGTCCATTAATTGCGTTAGACAGTTCTTCTACCGCAGGAAAAAAAATACTGACAATAAGAGGAATTATCAGTTCATATATATCCTTTGCAATAGCAAAACAGAGTTTGCCTCCATTCTTCTGACAGTTGAAAAATGGGCCAAACAGAAAATATCAAAAGCAATGATGGATTGTACATTGATGAAAATGTGCTTAGTAATATTTTCAGTAGATTGGATATTGAGTCTACTGGACGATTCCGTTGTGCGTGTAAGACCTGGGAAGAACTTCTTAAGTTGCCAGATCTTGTTACAAGAAAACGTGATATGTACTATAATGAAAGTATAGAGCACTTGCTGACCTTCACTCAGAGAAATATTGAAATCGACGGAGATGGGATAAAGCCGGTACTAGTGGTAGAAAGGAGAATGATAATAATGCATACAACTACAACAGAAGTTCAGAGTAACAAGAATCTGACCATTCGTCCAGAGAGGAGAAACGAGGAGGATGATATGCACAAGATTATGCCCATTACAACTGATTTGGTGTGCTTTTGCCTTGCACATGAAATTGAATTTCTTAACTCGACGACAAGATAGATTGCAATAGTTGAGTGGCCGAAGATTATGGACTCCCTTGAAAATTGTGCAAAGGCTTTTGGGTACATATCTTCTAGAAATGAATACACCTTTATGGTACTCTGTTTCCCTCCAACTCTTGGATATTTCTATGGATGTACCCTTTCATTTGAGCCTTGTTCGCAGATAGATCAAGTGAGTTGGAAAGCAGTGGACATGGTGTGTCCCTTTCGAGTTGATGAAGAAATTTGGATGGACAGATATGTTTATTGGCCGATTGACAAGCCCCGCAGCCGTATGGGACCACAGTCTATGAAGTTACTGGTTTCATTTGACACGGAGACGGAGACTTTTCAGGTAATTCATGCACTTCCAACTCCTATGTTCGTTACTGTTAATTGTTTCCCTAGAGTGAAGATCTTGGATGATCGAGGGACTATGTGCATAACTGAGGAGAATTACATTTATATGAGAGATATGAAGTTTGAAATGCGGGATTGGGAATCAAGTGAAGACAATTCAGAGTGTTAGAGATTGAGAAGGGTATTTGAAAATAGAAATTTCTCCATTGCCGATCTAACAGTGTATCCTGGTACTTGTCCATACAATGGTGAATGGGTATATCCTGCCATTCATTTTGAAGGGCCTCGATCCATTCCGTCTTCAATTGTATTGTCCTGGTAGCGAAGAAGTTAAAAATATTTGCCTCCCTCTTGAGTTAGATCACAGTTATGTCATCGCAGCATGTTAGTAGGAGGACGTTGACATTTTTAGAATGTGATTATTATTGTTGTACCTGTTTTTCTAATATTATTGTTTTGTTATTCGATTAAATCTGTTTTTGGTATCAAAATTTAAATTAATTACTTGTTATAAATTATTTATTCAACATAAACATTTCAAATATTCTGTTCAAAGGAATTTGATTTTTATAAAGATATATAAAAAAAGAAGGGAAAATTTGCGCCAAAAAAGTTGGAAAATATTACTGTCCCTAAAGTGGGAAAAAAATAGTGGCCGACAAGGTTCGAAATCAAGACCCCTTGAAAGAGGCAAACAATTTACCACCAGATCACTTGCTCATTTACTTCATATTTGATACGACATTTATTCAAAGAAGTAATGGTTCGTATGTAAATAGATAGTTCGATATTTTATTAATTAATAGAGTTAATTACTATATGCCTAGATCGGGTGTTTTGTAACAAATGCTATTCCTTCCTCTCTCTCTCACGCGCGACAGCCTTCATTGATATAACCCTAGCTTCAGCCGGCCTCCATGGCCGGAAATCCTCCGCCCGACGCCCCCACGGGGCTCCCCCCCAACGTTTGCTAGTCTATTTCACAAGCCATCAGTTGAAAAAGTGCAAAAAGGCTCCCTAATTAAGCCAGTTACATTCGTAAACGGTTCTGCCATTATTGAATATGAAGATGAGGAGTACGAAAGATTAATCGCTCCACACCAATTGAGTTTGGTTGGGAAGTTCTCATATGGACGCCCAAAGATGGAGGAAATCCACAAGGAGTTTTAGAAAGTTGGATTTCATGGGAGTTACACTTTAGGGTTGATAAACCCTAGACATGTATTAATTCGCTTTGAAAGGGATGATGACTACCAACATTGTTGGATGCGTACCTTTTGGAACATCGCTGGGTTTTTGATGTGGATACTAAAGTGGAAACCAGGATTCAAGTTTGAAGAGGATCCCCCGATTGTCCCGATTTGGGTATCACTTCATGATCTCCCAATTGAGTTTCTGAACCCGAAGGTTATTTTCTCCATGGCTATGGCGATCGGGAAACCCTTAAAAGTCGACACCCCAACTCTTAATCTCACGCGGCCTTCGGTTGCAAGGTTATGTGTTGAAGTTGAATTAAAGAAGGATTTCCCAAAATCTGTAAAGGTTGGAAGAAAAGGGAAAAAGCATGAGCAATTCTTCACGTATGAGCATGTTCCCGCCTACTGCTCCAAATGCTCCAAAATCGGCCATAAGGCTGAGGATTTCAAGAAAGGGATTGCGAGAAAGTTGGTTGATGACTCGAAGCAGAAAAACCCAGCACAGGATGTACCACCAAAATCGATACTCAAGAAACTAGGAAACCCTAGTGCGGTTCTGAATGTCTCGAATGTTGCGCAGACTAAGGGATCTTCATCGGGCTTAACTCGGAAGGAGAAAGTAGTCATTCCTGTTGAAATGCAGGGATCGCCAAGAAAAATCATGACTGAGAGTAAGCCAGTTAGTCAAGCAGAATCTGAAACTACTGTGGTTGGCTTCGCGGCTAGGACTGAGGCGAAGGTTGATAATGTTGCGACGGCAGTAGCTAATCGATTTGAGGCTTTGGAATTAATCACAGAAACTGATACTGAGGGCTTGAGCAGTGATGTGCATCGCAGCTCCCTGAAATTACGAAGGTGCAAGAGGCTTCGACTGAGTTGGTCGCGGCTGGGGACAAAGTGCATATAGCTAATCTCTCAGTTGAGATTTTGGCAGAAAAAAATACTGAGGCAGTAGGGAATGTTGGTGCTGATGTTGATAATTAAGAGCTGGTGGAATTGGTGTTTGAAGAAGGTTCCCCGCAGCTGGGACTTAAAAAATCAGTTGCAGGAGCCACACGGATTGATAATGCAATTCAAGAAACCTTGATGATGCTGGGTAGTGATACAAGGCTACCGATGGGGCATTTTGTGGATGATTGTACTGTTGGGATGCGTACAGAAGATATGATGTTTGCTGATATTGATCAGGATAGTTGGTCTGAAGGAGAAGCTAAGGAACGTGACGTGCTTGAGCTGGAACCAGCGCAAGGGGTAGTTAAGGCAAAAAAGCGAGGTCGTAAATCAAAAGTGGAGTTAGTTTCGTCGTAGGACGGTCTTGTTCTGCAGCGATTAGCCCGGCTGCAATAAGTTATCTTTCTTTTTCTTTTTATTATCAATTTTTCAATGGTAGGACAACTAATTTGGAACATCCAGGGCATAAAAAATCATGCCTCAAAACCGTTTGAACTCTCTAATCAGAATTTATAAGGTCTCCATTCTTGTAATTCTAGAGCCGATGCTTGAAAAGCCTAAAGTGGATGAAATGAGGTGGGAGCTTGGTTTCGACTTGGCTCTCTCATCTGAGACTAGTAAGATTTGGGTTTTTTGGAAGAAGGATTTTTCGGTTTCTTTGATTGATGGTAATGAACAGGTTCTCCACTTTGAGGCAACTCATGGTTTAGTTCTGGGTAAATTCTATTTTTCGGCTGTCTATGCAAAATCCACAAGATTGGGTCGGCAAATTTTATGGGAGGGTATGGTGGATTTCAGTAAGAACTTTTCTAATTCTCCTTGGATGATAGGTGGGGATTTCAACGTCATCCGATCTTTGGAAGAGTATTCAGGGCAGTCTGTTCAAGATCATGTAGCGATTACAGAGTTCAATGAGTGCATAGAGACTTGTAGCTTGTTTGAAAAGTTGCCAATATGTGAGGAATATACTTGGGGAGGAACTCGAAGTACTGGTTGGATTTGTAAGAAGTTGGATAGAGTTTTGTTCAACAAAGAATGGCAAGATCTTTTTCCGGCATCATCTGTTGAGAACCTAAGTCGCACTACTTCCGATCATTGTCCCGTTTTACATCTGGTTGCGCCACAATCAGCCAGCAAACCTAAGCTCTTTAGGTTTCAAATATGTGGATTAGGAGAGATGAATTCAAAATGATTGTTAAAGAGTCATAGGACTAGCCTATGTTTCAATCTAGCATGATTGGTTTCTCTTTAAAGCTTAGGCGGCTGAAAGTGAAGTTGAAGGGTGGGATAAGGAGGTTTTTGGTGACGTTTTTGAGAATCTGAAAAATGCCGAGAGAAACGCTCAACATTGGGAGAGTGTTTATGATGCTACGGGCCGGGAAGATGATAGAATGCAAATGAATATTGCTAAGGCTGCTTTGTTGCAAAAAGTTAAAGAGCATGATGATTTTTGGACTCAAAAAATGAGGGTTAAGTGGTTAAAAGAAGGGGATGCTAACACTTCTTTCTTTCATGCGGCCTTGAAGGAGCGTAGAATGAGACAAGGCATCTTCAAAATTCAAGTAGCGGATGGTACTATGATCACCGATGTGGCTGGAATTGAGAATGATGCGGTACAAGTTTATAGGGAGCTCTTGAGAGATTCTGCTTTGAATCAAGATGTTGTCGAAGCTCAAAATGCGTTACTGCTTCATAGTCCATCAGCTTTGTCTAATGATGATTGCGATGATCTACTGAAACCTTTGTCTCGTGAAGAAGTTAAGGAGGCAGTATTCAATTTAAGTGAAGACGCAGCTCCTGGAGTTGATGGCTTTGGAGGTTCCTTTTATAGACATTGTTGGGATATTGTTGCTACTGATTTGCTGAATGCTAGTAGGGAATTTATGCTTGGTGTTCCAATTCCAAGATCCATCGCAAGCACCTTGATAACTCTCATTCCGAAGAAATTGGCGGTTACCACTTTCTCGGATTATCGGTCAATAAGCCTTTGTAATTTTTTGAATAAAATCTTTACGAAGGTTTTGACTGAAAGGCTTAAGGTTGTATTGCCTAAGATTATTTCGGAGGAACAGTTGGCTTTTCTTGAAGGTCGGGATGTGGTATTTGTCCAGGATCTTTGTCAATTCCTTGGACGAAAGGTTGAGGGTAGTAATATGGTGCTCAATCTTGACATGATGAAGACTTTTGATCGGGTGAAATGGAGTTTTCTGGAAAAGGTGTTGCTTAAGTTTGGTTTCCCCTCTGGATTTGTTGGTCTTGTAATGAACAACCTCCACAATGGTTGGTTCTCTGTCATGATAAATGGTAGCCCGACGGGTTTCTTTCAATCCATGAGAGGGATTAAGCAAGGAGATCCTTTTTCCCCTTACTTGTTTATCATGGTGGCGGAAGCTATGACTAGACAACTAAATCACCTTGTTTTGTAGTGGTTTAGTGGCCAATTATAGAATTCCAAGGGGGTCTTTCGTGGTGTCACATTTGGCTTTTGCTGATGATCTTATTATCTTTACAAAGGGGTTGAAAAAGTCGCTCAGGGAGCTGAATTCGTTCCTTGCTACTTATGAGCAAGCATCGGGACAAAAGGTTAATCGACAAAAAAGTGTGTTTATGGTGGCTGAGAATTGTAGCGAGCGGAGAATTGGCATTATTGGTTGCACCCTAGGCATTCAAAAAGGTTCACTGCCTTTTACTTATCTAGGGTGTCGCTTGTATCATGGAAGGCGCAAAGCCTCTACTTTTCAGTTCCTTCTGGATAATATGGATGCTAAGCTTCTGAGTTGGAAGAACAAGCTTCTAAGCCCGGGTGGTTGCCTCATTTTAATAAGGCACGTATTATCTTTAATTCCATTACATGTCTTCTCAGCTACCCCGCCTCCAAAGTCTATTATCCGAGAAATGGAGAAGAAGTGTCAGAATTTTTTATGGAGTGGCACAGCAGATATCAGTAAGCGACATTAGAGGTCCTGAGAGAGGCTTACTTTTCCGATTTGGGAGAATGGTTTGGGGCTACGAGATTTTCAGGGATTAAGTGATGCTTTGATGGTTAAATTGTGGTGGAAATTAAGGCAACGGAAGGTGTATGGAGCAAATTCATCAATTCACTTTCAAATGCGGCAAAAAGAAAGACTTCTTGGAGTCGCATTTCGAAAATTGAATTGAAGGCAGCAAGTAACACCAACCTTATTGTGAGGGGAGGGAATGGATCTTTTTGGTTCGACAATTGGTCACCACACGGTGTTATTTGGGATATTCCAAATTTCAAGCCTCCGCACGCAGGGATTTCCATTAGGGAGTTTTTTTATGCAAAGCAATTCTGTTTGTCTGAGTTTTCTAATATACTTACTGATCACTTGAAAGGTTTTCTTGCAATTTTTTGAAATTCAGTTTCAGGAAGAGGAAGACCTTCTTTTTTGGCAGCATAACCCTAATGGTTCCTTTACTGTCAAATCGGCATACGATGATGAGAAAGCGACTTCCGGAGGAAGGTTGGACATGGAAAATTTGGTTAAGGCAGTTCCTTTGAGGACCTCTTTCTTTGTATGGAAGCTGCGAAACAAATTGCTACCTTTTCCTGAAATTTTGTGTCAAATGGGGATTCAAATACTGCCTTCGGTTTGTTTGTTTTGTTATGAGAATGGAGAGGGCTTTGAGCATACAGTTTTTTGGTTGTCGCATGGTATGCGAGGTCTGGAAGTACTTTGTTGTTTTGTTGCATCTCAAGATGAGCGATACGGCCACTCTTGCTTCAACTTTACAAAGATAGTTGAGAAAAGGGAACAAGAATTCGGCGCTAGGAATGTTGTATATGTTGCTGCCGCTTATGATCTTGTGGGAAACCTGGAAAGCCCAGAATAAGGCATATTTTGAGGATGTGAAAATGGTGGTTTCGGGATTAATACATGTGATAAAAAATCAGGTTGGCCTTATGATTAAGGTGCATGATTTGAAGGTTAGGAATTCTGAGGAAAAGGACTTTTTCAAAAGTTTTTTTGGCGTTGAATTGAATGAAGTCTCACAGCCTCATGCAATGGAGGTAAAATGGACTCCACCTATTTCAGATTCTTATATATTAAATAGCGACGGTTCTTCTGTGTTGAGTGAAGCAGGCTATGGATATGTTATTCATGGAGAAGGAGGAGTTTTTATTCATGGAGAAAGTGGTTATTTGGGAGGAGGTGATAGTTATATGGCAGAGGTGGCTGGAGCTATATTTGACCTGTGCAAGTGTGAGCTTCTAAACCTTCAAAATGTTTGCTTACAAACGGACAACAAGGGATTAGCAGATGCGTTGAAAAATCACTCGGGTTTCCCTTGGAAGTATTTTCTATTATTACAGGAAATGTCGTCTATTATACAGAGGAATGGTTACCAAGTTACTCACATTTATTGAGAAGCAAATTCGGTGGCCGATAAATTAGCTAGGTTTGCATCCTCTGGTATATAAGAGATTTTTCATGATTTAGAGTTATTGCCTAGAGTTGTAAAAGGCTTTTTGACTTTAGATCAGCGCTCCTTCTCTTATATTCGTAGCTAGTCTTGGTGATGTAATATGGTATGACTTACACTCTACCAAAAAAAAACAAAAACCTAGGTTTATTATTGTATACTGGTAAGTCTTAAGCACTGCTGGTTCTTACTTATTTTTCATAAATAAATCGGGTGTCATCCCCGTCGGGTACCGCCCTGGTTAAACCAAAAAAAAAGAGTTAATTACTATGATTACTAATTTATTATAAATGTACATGAAAGGGAAAGAGACAAACAATTTACCACCAAACCACTTGCTCCTTTAGTTCATATTTGATACAACATTTATTCAAAAAAGTAATGGTTCGTACGTAATATAGATAATTTGATATTTTATTAATTAATAGAGTTAATTACTTTATCAATATAAAAGTATCATTTAACAAGTATCATTAATAGAGTTAATCAATTTATAAGTATTTTATCTCATATTAATAACCAAATTATGCATTATATCTTCATCATTTTACAATAATTACGGCCGATTAACACATTGACAAAGAACCTTAGTACTATGATTACTAATTTATTATAAATGTACATATTATTGTTAACACTATTACGCATTGCATATCATATGTACTACTGTTAAGTACTCTCATCACGTTATCCTTAATACCATACACGTATCATTTGTCATAGTGTTAGTAACATTATGGAGTATCTTAGCGTTGTTAGGTATTACAATTCATCTCTATTAGTGTTGTAGTAGTTTTAACATTGTTACATGTTAAACACTAATTGTGATAAGGATATGTATTAATTTTCGGAATATTAGTTATATTAGTGTTGGGTTCAAGTGAAAACCATATTAGTGTCGGGTTCAAGGATGTAACTGTAACTATTGGAATTTTTAGAGGAGTTGAGATTTAAAATATTAACATAGAAGGGTACCATTCAAAATTATACATATTTTAGTAAGGGTATAACTGAAAGAATTGGAATTCATTTTGGGGTTGGGATTAAAATATAACATAAGGGTGCCATAATATAATTTGAATGGTGCCATAGTATAATTTTAGTAAGCGCTTTTTTGTCTCAATTTGTCTCATCTTAATCAACAACAACCTAGCCACCTCCACCACCATCAACAGCCGCCAGTCTACATTGCTACGCCGCCGGACCATGACTGATACTGTCGGCCGGCTACCATCTAAATTCTGACGTAATCGCCGGGAGTTGGACAAAATCATGCCGGTCAGTCGATGGCCGGCGTTATCCCGGCGGCGTAGTTGGGTGGTGGAGGTAGTCTGGCGGCGGTAGAAAAAAAGTATGGTGGGTGCCTTTGGCTTATTCATTTTTTCACTACCTAATCTATACCCTAATCTACCAGTATTCAAAGTTCGAATATTTTCTTTGTTTATGAGATTTCGTGTTGTCAAATCGACATCATTGCCGTATCAAACATTGTGGAAAGAGCAAGGCTGTCCATATTACACAAATGACAACCCCATTTATATTCTTCAACCCTTCGTAGGCAGTTTGTGGAGTAAATCATGTACCAACTACCAAGGTTTGTGCACAAAATTTGTATCTATGAAAGGAATTTATGGGTTAAAGTAAAGGCATTTCAGTTAATTATGAGGAGAATTATATATATATATATATTATTTTTTTGCATTACAACATTTCAATTATTTTTTTATACCAAGCGTCTTTTGCAGAATAATGTCACTTCCAAATTTGCTCTTCCTACATTGTACAATGGGTTTAAATTTGTCAGTAATATGATAATAATATAGAAATGTATCCATTTGTCTATGTTAAAGAGTGAATAGATATATTGAATCAGTGGAGAAGTTGAAACAGTGGATTTGGGAAAATGGTCAATTGGTAATAGATGAAGGGGTCAAAAAGAAATGAGAGGTCCGATAAATAATCGTCATATCAGCTCAAAAAAAAAGTTATATAGTTAATAGTTGAATCTGAAGCAACCATAGTTTCACATTTTCTCCAACATCAGAAGTATACTACCCTTCTTGGATTCGCTGGGAATTTAAAGGGCTTTCTGGAAGCGACAAGGATTCTGGTTTTGAAAGGTCCGAATTTTTAGGTTAATTTTTTGTTACTGAATACATTCATTTGTATCTCTATTTTTTTTTGTTTGTTTTGGGGGCGTACTTGGGTTTATGAAAATTGGCTTTTTAATGGGTGAGATTCTATCTCGTTGTAGTTCTATGTGAATTGATAGAGGGATTAAAAAATCTTTTTATATTTACTAGATGGTTAAAAATTGGACTATGAAAAGATTTGTGGAGTGGAAATCTAAAACCAATGAAATGGGGTCCGAAAAACCCAAGGCCAAGTTCTATAAAATTATTGATCGGCCTGTTTCAGAAGGAATTGTAAGTGTTAATTTATTGGTTCCAAGTTCTTCCCAAATTGTTTATAAATCCATATAGTTATATGAAACCTATGTTTATGTATATCAGCGGATTCCATCAGCTTTTATGCATAAACATGGGCATAAACTTGGTAAGGTGGTTACTTTGAAAGACTGCTGGGATAGTAAATGGAAGGTTACGTTACGCCATACAGACACGGGAACTAAATTAATGGGCCAAGATTTGATCAAATTTGAACAAGAGAGAGGAATTGCTATAAACTATATACTTGTTTTTACAATGAAGGACAATGCCAAGTTGAGGGTTGGTATATTTGATGACACTGCCACAAAAGTAGACTACAGTGGTAAATGTAATGGCCGGGGCCAAGATAAAGATAAAGGTAATATGATTAATCAATTCTATGTGTTTTTTTCTTTGATTATGAACTAAAAAATATCACAGCTTGATGATTTTGTTGTAGTTCCCCTTTAACAATTGTTGAGAAGATCTAAGTATGAATGTTATTTTCAGAACCAAGGTCTCAAGAAGAGGATACTGTTTTTCCGTGGTTCGAGTTTACAGTCAAGAAGAGCATACTCAGTTACCCATTTCAGTTGGTTAGTACAAGAAATTTATTCATTTTTTCACTTTCGTTTTGTCATGGTTTCATATTTATACTGTTACATGGTTCCCTTATTTGTGGGAATTGTTGTTGGATTTTCGCAGCATGTACCGGCTGCGTTTGTCAAAACTCACCTAGTCGGGGAGGAAGGAAAGACCCAAATTGTGATGGAAGATGCTTAATTTGAAAAGGAATGAAGTTTTGTGCTGGATGTTCAAGGGGTCAAAGGAAAGATTTCTGGCGTTGATTCTTGGAAACAGTTGGTCCAAGAGATGGACATTGGCATGGGTCAGTTATGCGGACTGGAATGGGTCAAAGGGACTAACTTGTTTTTCTTCCACATCTTGTAAATCAACCATCTGTAACTCTAGGGATTTATTGTTTTTGTGAATGGTTTCCATTAGTAGTTGGTCATTATGGGTGTATTGTAGTATTTTGATTATGTCCCATGTATTTAGTTGGGTATTATGGTTGTATTGTAGTACTTTTGACTATGTCCCATGTCTTTTCAATTAGGCTAATGAAAAATCCAGGGGTGATAGTACTTAAATCTAAGGCTAATTTAAGTCAAACCAACTTTTGCCCTTATTTAATATTTCCAAACTGATATTTTTTATTTTTTTGTCAAAAAGATACAATGTTAATTTTAGATTGATTTCGTTGATGATTATCAAATCAATATATATATAATAATAATAATAATAATAATAATAATAATAATAATAATAATCCCAAACTGATGTTTTTTATATTTTTTGTCAAAAAGATATAATATTAATTTTAGATTGATTTCGTTGATGATTATCAAACCAATATATAATAATAATAATAACAATAATAATAATAATAATAATAATAATTTGGAATCCTAGTATGGTCAAAGTGAGTATTTTGGAGAAGGGAAAACAGTTTATACACTGCTGGGTAGAAGTGCTTGATCACAAAGAGCCTTTTATTATACAACAGTTTATGGATCGAATTTACAGGCTGAAAGGAATGATCTATGGGAGGAACTGATTCGACTGAATGGCAGTATAAACAATGAATGGCTGGCCATGGGGGATTATAATAATGTCCTTGGAGTAGATGAGAGAATGGGTGGCAATCAGTTAACGTTAAACGAGCTACTTGGTTTGCAAAGATGCGTTAAAATTTGTGAATTGCAGGATTTGAAGCAGCAAAGCCTGAAATTCACCTGGTCCAACAAACAACTAGGAGAAGGAAGAATTTGTTCTAGGATTGATCGAGCTCTAGTAAATGGAAATTGTGTGATGAAGTATCAAAGGTCTAAGGTCACTGTTCTAGCTGAGGGAATATCTGACCATAGCCCATTGTTAGTACAGATGGAAGAGGAAGTACTTAGGAAACCTAAATCTTTTAAGTACTTCAACATGTGGAGTCAGTCAAGGGATTTTCTAAAAGTGGTGAAGGCATCTTGGTCAGAACCTGTAATGGGCACGTGTATGTATCAGCTGGTCAAGAAACTCAAGAGGCTTAAATCAGTGTTGAAGCAACTGAACAGAAATCAATTTCCTGATATTCATCAGCAAATGCAGCAGTCAAGGGCCTCCTTACAGCTAATTCAGGAAAGGGTTAGTCAGAACCCAACTGATGAAAATTTACAAAAATTGGAGAGAGAAGAATATAAAAGCCATCTAGCTGTGAGTAAAGCGTATGAAAGCTTTGTATACCAGAAGGCAAAGGAGTTTTGGATTAAACAAGGTGATTCTAATAGCACGTTCTTCCATGCAAAGATGAGGATTCGTACTATGAAGAACCGTATTTTATCCTTTGTTAATGATGAGGGGGTACTGGTGAGTGACTGGAAGTTGGTAGCAGAACATTTTGTTGGGTTTTATCAAGCTCAGCTGGGGCAAACCAGTGCAAGGGTGGTAGCTGATCCTGATATTTTCAACTTAGGGCCAACACTGGACTGGAAGAAGTAGTTGTTAACTAAGCAGGTTTCACAGAAGGAAATCAAGCAGGCTTTGTGGGACATTCATAGCGGTAAAAGCCCTGGACCTAACGGGTTTGGGAGTGGATTTTACAAGGATGCCTGGGCAGTTGTGAGGCAGGATGTTGTCAATGCAGTGATGGAGTTTTTCGAAATAGGAGAACTCCTTAAACAGGTAAATTCCACTTTAATTGCTTTGATACCTAAGCATGATTCTCCACAGAATGCTTCTGATTATAGACCGATAGCATGTTGTAATGTCATTTATAATTGTATATCTAAAGTGTTATGTGAAAGAATTAAGCCTGTTTTAGAAGATTTGATAGATATGAATCAGCGTGCCTTCGTAAGTAATAGGTTAATTCTACATAACATATTACTTACGCAGGACCTGACTAAAATGTATGGAAGGAAAAATGTCAGTAGTAGATGTGTATTAAAGATAGACCTTAGGAAAGCATATGGTTCTGTCGAATGGAGCTTCACAGAAGAAATGCTTCAGGGTTATGGCTTTCCTCAGTCTTTTTCGAAGATGGTGGTTGAATGTGTTGAATCTCCGTTTTACTCTGTGTCGTTGAATGGTGAGAGCTGTGGGTTCTTTAAGGGTAGAAGAGGCTTACGGCAAGGTGACCCTCTATCTCCTTTGCTGTTCATTTTAGTTATGGAATATCTCACCAGGTTGATGAGAGCAGCTACAGAGGATTCGGCATTTCAGTATCATCCTCAGTGTAAGAGTCTTAAGCTTACGAATATCTGCTTTGCAGAAGATCTAATGATCTTCTGAAAAGCAGACATGTATTCAGTGGCTAAGATAATGCTGGTGCTAAAGAACTTTTCTGCTACAACTTGTCTTGGGGCCAATCTGTCGAAGTCAGAAGTATATTGTGGAGGGGTAGATGAAGTTTTGAAACAGAAGATATGTGAGGTGACGGGCTTTCGAGCAGGGACTTTCCCAATGAAATATTTGGGAGTTCCTATATCACCACGGAGATGGACACAACTGGACTGTGAGCTGCTGACACAAAAGATAGCCTCGAGAATCAAATGCTGGAGCTCAAAGCATCTCAGCTATAGTGGCAGGCTGCAGTTGCTGAATTCAGTTTTAATGGCAACGATAACTATTGGTCTGCTGTGTTTCTGCCCCCTCAAAGTGTAACGCAACAGATCAATAAGTTATGTAGATGCTTTCTGTGGGGAATCAAGGAGGATGGAAAGGGCATTGCACTTGTGAGTTGGAACCAGGTTTGCAGATGGAAAAAGGAAGGAGGTCTGAACATACGGGATGCTCAAGTGTGGAATCAGGCTGCGTTGATCAAACAGGTGTGGCATATCGCTGCAAAAAACGACAATTTATGGATTAAATGGGTTCACGAATAATATATAAAGCAGCAGGACTTCTGGCAGTTACAGCCGAAACAAAGTGCGAGCTGGCACTGGAGAAAGCTGCTACAACTCAAGGAGCTAGTACAGAATGAATTTGTTGGCTCAACATGGAAACATTCCAGCCATGGTAGGTACACAATCAACTCTGGGTATCAATGGCTAATGGGAAGAATGGAGGAAATCCAGGCTGCTAACCTCATCTGGACTAGGTTTGCTGTTCCAAAACATTCTTTTATCTTTTGGTTATGCTGGAAAAACAGGCTGCTTACAGGGGATAGATTGCTAAGGCTGAATATTCTGAACGACAGCCAGGACTGCATATTATGTAAGCAGGAAAAAGAGACTGCATGCCACTAATTTTTTGAGTGTGCTTATGCCAAATCACTGTTTAAAGCTGTTTGGCAGTGGTTGAATATACAGGGTTTATCAGTGGAGCAAGATATGTGGAGAAGACAGGTTTTGATTGTTGCCAGGGGATCAAAAATGAAAAGATGAGTCTGCTGGGCTGCAGTAGTTGCTGCTGTGTATCATGTCTGGGAGGAAAGAAATGTTAGACTCTTTGCGACTAAAAACAGACCATGGGAAGTGCTTTTCAAGATGATCAAACAGGAAGTTTATTGGAGGGCTGAGTTGTGTCTAGGAGGATCTAAGAAGGTTTCAGCACAAAGAATTTTGGATCACTTACTTGGATAGTTGTTTGTATAGTGAGTAGAGATTCTGGTAGCATTATAGAAATGTAGTGTTTTCTTGGTTGTAAATATACAAGCAAGTCCATCATCAATATATTTACATTTTACCAGAAAATTAATAATAATAAAACAAAAAGGCCAAAAAAGAAAAACAAGAAGAAAAGAAAAACAACCAGGGAAGGCTGAAACAAAAAAAAAAAAAAATCAAGGACAAAAGGGAAAACGGAAAGAGCGACCCGTTTATGTTATACCTCGAAAACGACCCGGTTTAGACCCGCGAGATTTTTCAAGTCCCTTGAATCTGATGAACCTTGATCCCATTTTTCCTGTTGAACGACGACCCTTATATGACTTCCATTCAATAAAAGAACGCTGACACCGTTTTCAGGAACCCTGATTCCACTTTAGTTGGGCTTTTAAAATGGTGTATGGTAAAAAATCACGTCGATTTAGCTATTACTTAAAAAACGAAAGGACTAAAAACTACTACATTTCAAGAACACAATAATTTAAGAACACCTGAGACTTTTAACGACCTTATGCAACTTCCATTCAATAAAAGAACGCTGACACCGTTTTCAGGAACCCTAATTCCACTTTAGTTGGACTTTTAAAATGGTGTATGGTTAAAACGACGTCGTTTCAGCTATTACTTCAAAAACCAAAGGACTAAAAACCACTCCATTTCAGGAACACAACAATTCAAGAACACAAAAAACTTTTAAAATCCGACTGCCTCCAAATATACAAGGTACATAACACAGTGTTCAAAAACCAAATTAACCTTAAACAAAGCATTCATCAACATCACATGTCTTTCCAGGATTTTAAAAACAAAATTACATGACAGTCAACCAGGAGTGGCAGAGGAGGTGTCCTAGAGACCTTGGATTTCATCGAAACTTTTGATGGCTGCACACCTGCGAAGTTTCCTCCCAACGATTCCAATGATTGCGTAATCATCTTCTTGAGCAACCCAGGGATATAGGGAATCATTGTGAGTACCAGACCCTTCCCAATCCTGCTTCCCATGGTGATCATTCTTATAAGCCTGATGAAATGCAAGAGCATCCGTTAATCCATCAAAACCACTTCTAAAATGAACAATACCTATTCCCCAGTGGCCAGTTTCATCATCCCACAGTGGCTCCACTTTTGTCGGATTAAAACCTTCAAACAAATACTTTTCACGCAGAACCCTGCCACTCGGTCCAACAAACTTCCCACAATCAAATTTTCTAGGCAGGTTAACAACAACAACCATTGGAGGGTAAACAAAGCGGTCCTGTGGATTGTGAGATTGAAGGGGATCCACCACTACATTTGCATGAGGAACTGCCGGTACTGGTATTTCAGCGTGATCATCTGTATGAGGGACAGATTCGAGATCATCTTGTAAATATCTCGCCGATGCAAGATGGTTCCCTCGCTTTTACATAGAATTTTTCCCCGATCGACCCGCCCCATTTACATGCTATAGAATGTCAACGTATTCAAACAAAAAGGGCAAGGAAATTTGTTCTCACGAACTCGAACTTCTTGACCTCCATTTCTCAAAGAATTATACAAAGTATCTGTCCATTCATCAAGCTCTGACTCACTGAAATCACTATCATCTTCGGAGCTGGAGTGCGATCTTTTTGACATCTAAAAAGAAAATATTTGTTTAAGTACTCACAATCCCCCAAAAAACAAAGGTATGAAACAAACATGAAGGTCCCTTCTCCCTCTTAAAAATTGCCTCATCTATATGAAAAAAGACATGATGGTCCCTTTATCCCTGACTATTTGGCTGACAATGAAATTTGGTCCAAAACCTAATGTGGTGGTTTCAGGTTTCATCTACATTCCTGACAGTTACAATACAATATACAAAAGTGAGAAGGATAAGATCTCCTACTTCTCTTAAATGAACAAACATTTTTGAAATCCTAAACACCAATGCGGCAAATAATTGGAGTATATAGTTCGTTTTAATGGAATATTCAAATGCATAGTAATTATCGGGACCACAGAATCTTACTACAGCAGGAGAGTAGAATTATATATTGTCCCAGATCTAAGTTAAAATTGGGGTTTTTGCAAGAAACAAAAGTGAGAAGGATAAGAAAGGGATTTTTGCAAGTATCTTATTAGAATTGGGGTTTCTGGCCAGATTTGGGAAAGGATAGTTGGAGATGCGTCCCAGAAGGTTGACCTAAATCGACAAACAATCGGAAAAAGAAAAATAATGGTCCCTTTGTATTATATCCTCCAATTCATTGTGTGGTGGGAGATGAAGTGGAAGGACAAATTAAATGCATCTTTTCACTTTTAAAAAGAAAAGGAAAATAAAACTATAAAAAATAACTGCAATGTTTGCCTATTGGGATTTGGGGGATTAAAATGTACAGTTGTACACCACTTTGGCTACCTGACCTCTCATTTGGAAGGAATTATTTGCCTGCTCATATATTTGTAGGTTTAAATCCCATTATCATTTCTGGCTTCTTGAAACAAAAGAAAACCCCTCCATCTAAACAACATCTCCAGTCACATTTTAAATCACACGTCAAACAAATAACTAGTAACTGGTTGTCCACATAACTAAACCAAAAATTTAAATACTCCCAGGAAGTAGTTTCAGTATAATCATCCCAACCATATTGCTAGATACTGCTGAAGAAAGCAAACCTAATGTTCAAATTACAGCCATCATGAGCGAAACAGTACAATGATCCCAAGTATATTGCTACAAGTCTCTTCCAGTACAGAGATTGGACATTCTGAATACAACCATCTTACTATTTGGCATATTAGATGCTATGTCAAGAGTTAACTGCATAGGCTGGTCTTCTTGGATCAGGTTGTCTTCAAAGAACTTCTTCCACTTCTCGGATAATTCCTTCTGAACTGTAGAACCACGGGTATCCGATGTGGTTGTTATTTCGGAATTGTGCTGCTTCCACTGGACCTCCAACCCTGGCAACTTCTTTTGCTTGAAGTGCGTGGCGGCGCACAAATTTGACTGGAATGGTCTGCACTCACCAATCGTGGATAAAATATTTTGTCACAACTCACAACTATGATCATTACATAAACAAAAAAAAAACAAGACTTACCATTCGATATCTGGTCTTGCATAACCGACCAACACCCAGTTTGAAGCTATTGTCAGGGTTGTTCTCCAAGTTCTGTCCCGAATTCTCTCCCCCTGGCCTGATGTCATCTGCTTCTCTATCACCGTCACATCCCTATAAAATGAACGGAGAATTAGTTTACGCAGGATTACACCAATCCCTTGCAAAAATGCTAAGTTCCAAACCCTACAAAACAACAAAATCAAAAGCATGGGACTGGTCATTTCGTGCCTGATCTTCCTCCTGTAGACCAATATCAATTGGAGAAGTTGCCGAGCTTCCTAGCCCCCACGGGAGATTGTGTCCACAACAACCTCCCCCTAAGTCTACTGCTAAATCTCCTCGGACTGGGTCTAGGACCTAGATTCTCTTCACTGACCTTGCTACATCGGCCCATTTTCTTTCGAGTAGGGGGCAGCTTTGACAGCTACAACAAGATAAATGTAAAAAAGCGTTAATAATTGTTTAACCATTCTCAAGAAAATGAACATGGTCAACCGTAAATGATACAACAGGCGTACCATTTCCATTGCGGGTGATGCTTTGTTGGGGTCTTCATGGGGCTTTGACTCTACCACCGGTGCAATGATGGAGTTCCCTGCGTCCTCAGGTTGACGATTATTTTCTGTTTCCTTCTGTCAACATTAGAAAACAACCAACTTTTTAGTTTTTGTTTAGCTATTAATTTTTTTCAACAACTGATGACAATCACATTACCTGTGCTTCTACACATTCATGTACGAGTTGTCCAGAACAATCGCAAAATGAACATTTCATGCTTAACCGAGTACACTCCCAGCACTCTCTATGTTTAAACTCCCCATGACAGTGTTCACAAATCCATCCAGATCCCGAACACTGATCCCAAAAACTGCAAGTTTGTTCGAAATCATAAGAAACTAAGTTGAGTGTCTCTTAGGCTGGTTCATCAGGTGCAGTAATGACCTTCAATGATTCCTCATTCTGATCTTTCCTTTCATCCATGTCTAAATTCCCCGAGCAGTTTGCACGTGGTTCAAGAGCACTGTATGCTACATCATCATGCTCTTTGTTAGAAGTTTCATTTGCTATCCAACGTGCCAACTGTTCTTCAGGGCATTTAGCTCTCCGATGACTGGTCATTTGACAATTTTCAGATGGCAAAGCTTCTGCTTCTGGAACAACATTTTCAGCTTCTACATCCACCGTAGTGGTCACTGGAACATCTTCACCTACATATTCATCAAGAATTTGAAATTTTCCTTTCCGCCTAGTTCTGGACACCCGGATAAAAGGAAAATCTTAATCATCATCTTCAACAAGAATCTGTACTTCTTTCCGCTTAGTTATGGACACCGAGATACCAGGATCATTTTCATCTTCATCACGAAGCTGCAAATTTCCTTTCCCCTGACTTCTGGACACCAGGACCACGGGATCATTTTCATCTCCATCAAGAACCTGATTTTTTTGTTTCCCCTTACTTCTGGACACCAGGACCACGGGATCATTTTCATCTCCATCAAGAACCTGCTTTTTTCTTTTCCCCTTACTTTTGGACACCAGGACCATGGGATCATTTTCATCTCCATCAGGAACCTGATTTTTTCCTTTACCGTTAGTAATGGACACCGGGATAGGGGATTCACGCTCATTTTCATCTTCATCGCGAAGCTGGAAATTTCCTTTATGTTTCTTATTCCGCTTCTGCTGAGCACCCTTTTGAATTTGTTGTTGACCCTTACCCTAGTGCCATAATGATGGGGACAAGACATCACAGTTTGGTTTAAAAGTATAGAACAACAACAACAAAGTCCGCAAACAAGAATGTGAAAAAAGATATTCTTCTATGCAATCACAATGCACTTTAGGTTTATGCATAACAATCAGAGTATTAACTCCGTAGAATATGCAAGTTTAGTATTACATAAAGTTAAAGTTAAAATCGAAATTCGAAGGTTTTATACGAAGGTTACCTTGTCTTGCTTGGCCGCTTCCTTCTTCTTTTCCAATCTCATTTTTAGTGCTGGACAAGACTTTGGTTTGTGCCCCCTGCGTTTGTAGTATTGACATTGACTGTTCAGGAGTGCTTTCCTGCCTCTTCCCTTTTGCTCACCCGTCTGTCAATTATAAAGCCATTCAAACCAACACAATCGAGAACTCATAACCTTTTAAGAACATATACAAGTACAAAATCTTACATCATCAGCCAAAGGTTCAACTGCAACCCATTTGCTCGGTCTGCCCCGCTATTTGGGTGCTGCTTGCTTCTGCCCACCTAAGGGCCTCTGTCACGGGCTTACTTTTTCAAAGTAACGGTCGTGCAGCACTATCACAAAACAACTAACGATCAAGTGCTAGCTCAGCCTTAAAATCCCCAAAGCGTGGAAAGCTAGGCAAGGCTTTAAAGAACGGAGGCAAAGAAAAACTTAAGAAAGGTTGAAAGTGAAAGAACGATGAAGGCACAAGAGAGCTTAAGGAATGCTTGAGAACTCTACTCAAAGCTTGGATGGATTACAAATGAAGGGGGCATGGGGTATTTATAGGCAAACCCCAAGTTCCAAAGAATTCTAGAGAATTCTATGTACATAATAAAATAATAGAATTCTAGAGAATTCCTACCATAAAATATTCTAAGTCCAAAATATCTACAAGTCTCTAGAATCCTCCACACGGTTCTAGCAAACTCGGGTAGTTTCCACACGGTTCCACCCGTTTCTAAAGAGTTCCAGGCCTCTCTAGAGAATTCCAGAGTCTTCAAGATTTGACTGGAGAATTCCACAAGGCTCTAGACCATTCCGTCCCATGTCCGTCTACGAAAATAGCCTGTTTCGCAGCAAACCACCCGAATTCGTGGGGAAAAAAAACTGTCCGTGACATCCTCCCCCACCAAAACGGTGCATCGCCCCGATGCACCTAAGTCTCTAAGGCAATGTTGATACGAACGGGTGCACGATTCTCCTCAAAGTCCTCGATCAATTTGGTAAATTGCCAAAGCTTCTCGATTGGCTCCCAACTCGTCTCACTCATTGGTAAATTCTTCCATTTCACCAAGTATTCTTTAGTCGCTACCCCGCTCTTGCCTCGAACGATCCTCTTAGAAAGGATGTCCTTTGCGGTCCGTTCCTCGTGCTCGTGTACGCTAGCTGGTGCCCTTGAGGAAACATTCCGTTCTTCGTCCTCTGGGTCCTTGCGGTATGGCTTAAGTAGGCTCACATGAAAGACTGGATGAAGCCTTGAAAAGGCCTCAGGTAGTTCCAGCTTGTAAGCAACCGAACCCACTTTCTTAAGAACGGTGAAAGGACCCTCGTATCTGCACATGAGACCCTTGTGTAGACCACGGCTCTGTCCATGCTCATAAAGCTTCACCAAGACTTGATCGCCTTCTTCAAACTCGCGACGGGTCCGTTTCCTATCCGCCCATTTCTTCATGCGCCCCGCCGACTTCTCCAAGTAGAGTTTTGCCTCGTCGGCCCGTTCTTGCCAATCTTTGGCAAACTTGTATGCGGATGGGCTATTGCCCTTGTAGCCCCCAAGAATGTCCTTAGGCATAGTCAGTCGGAAACCAAGGACAATCTCAAACGGAATTTCGCCCGTGCTCTCACTCCGCATCAAGTTATAGGAAAATTGGGCAACGTCTAGCAAACGTACCCAATCTTTCTGGTTGGCTGCCACATAGTGCTAAGGTACACCTCCAAGAGGCCGTTGATGCGCTCTGTCTGCCCATCCATTTGCGGGTGCAAAGATGTAGACATCTTGAGCTCCGTCCCAAGCAAACGAAAGAGTTCTTGCCAAAAACGGCCGGTGAACCTTGAGTCCCTGTCGCTTATGATCGATGTAGGCAGCCCCCAATACTTCACCACATGCCTAAGAAAGAGTTTGGCCGTTATCTCCGCGGTGCACTCTTTTGGGGCGGGTATGAAGACCCCATACTTAGACAAACGGTCTACCACAACAAGTATGTTGGTGCAACCCTCGGAAACGGGCAGGCTCATGATGAAATCCATCAAAACGCTGTCCCATGGGCGTTCCGGGATAGGCAAGGGTGATAACAAGCCATGCGGGTGGTCTTGCTCGGTCTTGTCTTGTTGGCAAACTAGACAAGTCCTTACGTATGTCTCCACGTCTTCCCGCATGCGAGGTTAATAGAACCGTTCATGTACTAAGGCAAGTGTGCGATGCGTACCTAGGTGAACCGCATAACGGCTATCATGGCAATCCCTTAGAATCTCCCTTCTAAGTCCATCCGATGCGGGCACGTACAAACGGTTCCCCTTGGCATAAAGTATCCCATCCTCAAGCCAGAACCGCGTTGTCTTGACTTCCTTCACGAGCTCCATGAACCTTTGGGCTTGACGGTCGTGCTCAAGACCCTTCTTGATGCGATCAACCAGTGTCCCCTCGGGTATGCTAACAATTGGTGCAAGACACGCCTTTCAACTTAGGGCGTCAGCCACGTGGTTGGTCTTCCCTGGGCTATACTCAAGCTCGTATTTAAACTCGGCCAAGAAGTCCAACCAACGCGCTTGCTTGCTTGAAAGCTTAGGTTGGCTTTGATGGTAGCTCACTGCCCGATTGTCCGTCTTGATCTTGAACGGTGTGGCAGCCTTCAAGTAATGCTCCCAAACTCTAAGGCAGTGAACTATAGCCAATATCTCCTTCTCGTGCGTCGGCCATCTTTTCTCAGTCTCGTTCAACTTGCGACTTTCAAAGGCGATCGGGTGACCATCATGCATGAGAACGCCCCCAATGGCGAAGTCTGAAGCGTCCGTGCACACCTCGAACGATTTCTCAAAATCAGGGAGAGCTAAGACTAGCTCTCGAGTGACGACGTCCTTTAAAGCCTCGAATGCTGTCAGGTGTTTTGGTGTCCAACACTAAGCTTGCCCCTTCTTCAAGAGATCTGTTAATGGAGCGGCTATGGCGGAGTGCCTTTCAATGAATCGTCGATAGTAATTAACAAGCCCCAAGAACGATCTCAGCTCTGTTGGCTTCGTGGGTGCCTCCCACTCCATGATAGCCTTGATTTTGGCCGGATCCATGCGGATTTGGCCCCCACCAATGATGTGTCCCAAGAACGATACCTCTTCAAGGCCGAAGGAACACTTCTCCCCTTTAACATAGAGCTGGTTTTCCCTAAGGACTTGGAAAACGGCTCTAAGATGCTCCACATGCTCCTTTATTGTGTTACTATAGATGACGATGTCGTCCAAGTATACTACAACGAACTTATCAATGAAATCGGCTAGCACGCGTTGCATCAAAGTGCAAAACGTGGCTGGGGCGTTAGTTAAACCGAACGACATAACAAGAAACTCATAAGAGTCATATCTCGTCACCATGGCCGTTTTCGGTTCATCACAGGGTGCTATGCGTACTTGGTAGTATCCCTTCTGCAAGTCCAGCTTGGAAAAGATCCGTGCCCGTTGCAGCCGGTCGAACAAATCTGCTATAAGTGGGATAGGGTACTTGTTCTTCACGGTTAGCTTGTTTAACGCCTGATAATCGATGCATAAACGTAGCGTCCCATCTTTCTTGCGTTGGAACAAGGCCGGCGAACCCCGTGGACTCTTAGACTGCTTTGCATGACCCGATTCAAGTAGCTCCTTGATTTGCACCTTGAGCTCCTCCAGCTCGCTAGGAGACACACGATAAGGCACCTTGGCTATCGGTTTTGCCCCGTCCACCAACTCGATGGCATGATCAACCTCCCTCCTTAGTGGAAGACCTTTGGGGAAATCGTCAGGCATCACATCCTCAAACTCAACAAGGATCCATTCGATAGGAGGCGGGATCCGTTCCTTTTTTTTCGGCTCCTTCGTGCATGGTTCCTCCTCAAATACCATGGCGGCAAAGGTGTGTTCACCCCGCTTTAGCCCCTTGTTCAGTTGGGAAGGGCTAATCTCGTTTTCGCGCCTAAACTTCACCACACAAGGCTTCTCGCCTTGGAGGATCACCATCGTGTCATTGCTAGGCACGATGATCGGCTTCACCTGGTCTAAAAACTCCATGCCAAACACAAGACCATAATCATCCATAGGGGCAATGGAGAAATCAGTCGTACCTGACCAGTTGCCGATTTTAAGAGGCACGCCTCTTGCTTCGCCCACAAGACCTGTCCATTCGCTGTTCACACCCTTGAAACGGCCTTTGCTAGGTGTCCACTTGACTCCAAGCGTACGGGCTACCTCTTCCGTGAGATAACTCGTATCGGCCCCCGTGTCTAGCATGCCCCATCTAGACCCGTTTGCGAATGATGCCTCCATGTAAAGATGGCCTTGACGTGTCTCGGCCTTGGCATGCACGGCGTCTAGCCATTTCATGCAAGCGACCCGTTTCTCCTCTTCTTGGCACAAACTTTGCGCCAATGCTGCCAACTTCGAACGAGACGGGCAATCGCGTGCCATGTACGCTCCCCCGCACAAGAAGCACCCTTGAAACTTCTTTGGCTTGTCCCCCTTGGTCTCCTTGCTTGAAGACGGCTTTGTGGAGTTAGCTGCCGGTTTCGCGGGTGTGGAAGACTTCCCTTTGTCTCCCCCACCTTTGCCGTGGAAAGGCTTCTTGCCCTTGTCCTTGGAGCTATCCTTCTTTTGGAACTCAACAAGCGACTCGGCCACCTTTAACGCCCGATCGATGTCCTGGACTTCTCTCCATTGTAGCTTAAGTTTGGCCCAACGGTTGAGACCGTCCATGAAAGTAAAGAACACCTCCTTGGGTGAGAGATCCAAAATTTCAAGCATCAAGTCCGAAAATTTCCTAACGTATTCCCGGATTTGGCCTTCCCTATGGTGCAGACGACGAAGCTTGGCCTGGGCTTCGTCTTCCGCATCCACGGGTAGGAAATACTTTCTAAACTCTTCCTTAAAACTATCCCACGTGGTTAAGATCGGGTCTCCGTCCCCCACGGGTTTCATCATACGTTTTCACCATGATAAAGCACTATCTTTAAGATAAAGAGAGGCTTGGAAGAGTCTTACCGAGTCGTCCATGATATTCATAGCCCCAAAGTACCGTTCCA